AAAGCCCCCCAAAATATAGAAGGGCCCCTGATTTGGATTTGGGGAGCTCAGGGAAGGCTTCTCAGAAAGAGACCTTTGACGTATGTCTTGAAGGGCAAAAGGAAAAGTGTTAGATGAAGATGCGGGGGAAGGGCGTGCCAGGTGGAGGAACAGTGAGTGAAAGCATGGAGGGGTGAAATAATGCAGCTCTTGGGGAAACGATGAAGGGGCGTCGGAAAGTTTGTTGAAAAATAAAGTACACGTTTATTTTGGTACAAACAATTTTTAAATCTATGGGTAGCCTTTTCTTTTTTCTTTTTCTAATTGCCAGAGGGTATGTGCACTCACCAGAGTGAGAGAGAGAGGGGGGGAAGAAAGCGTCCTCCGTGGGGTGTGATTGTTCTGCTCACAATCCCTTCTCCTCCATTTCTCCATCCTGTTGAGATCTTGGGCATGCACACGCACTCACCTGGCATGTTTTTCAAGCTCCTGGGGCTGGGATTCGAACCATGGTTGGCCATATGGGATCCAGTTCCCTTTAACTACTAAGCCACAGGGCCAGTCCCATCATTTTTTAACAATACACATTTTCCATGAACTTTTTACAGACCCCCCCGGTACAAGAGGTTGGTGATGCTGGGGTTTAGGAGGTGGTGAGGAACGTGGCTGGAAAGGAGCAGGGCCTGAGTGACAGCACACCCGATGTGGGGCTGGTACGGCCAAAGGCCACTCCTACCTTCTCATTTCGGAGCACGTGCATTTGCTCACCCTCCCTGTCCTCTAAGGAAAGAAACTCCGCCACACTCCCTTGGCCTCCATCTTCGCAGGCTGAGACCTCTTTTTTTTTTTCTTTTTTTAGTTTTTGCTATAGGGCACATGCGTTTGTCAGAGAGAGAGAGAGAGAGAGAGAGAGAGAAGACGAGAAATCATCTCCCCAGGAGGGATGGCCCTGCTACAATCCCTTCTCTACTCTCTTCCTGGGATTTTGGGTGTGTATGCACTCGCGCCCACCCAGCGTGATTCTCAAGCTGCTGTGCTGGGTCTGGGACTCACACTGTGAAACTGGCCATGTGAGATCCGGCGCCTTAACCTCCACGCCACCTGCTGGTCCTGAAGAGCACTAAGTTTTAAGCCTTCCCTGTCCATTCTTCAGGATGGGGCTCAAGTCCTCCACTTCCATGAAGCCTCCCTTGATGGCCCTATAACTTCAGTAAACTCTATTATTTCAAACACACGTCAGAATCTTCATTGTTGTTCTTTATCATTCTATTGTATACGGTTTGTCTGGGCAGGGATACCATGTGCTCCTGAGGGTAGGCTGTGTGAGTCACATGGTAATGTTGAATAAATACCAATAAGAGTGAGTCCCAACAATTTTAGTTTCAAGGTACATGGCAAGCACTTGAGCATGGGGACGGACACACCCAGATTTGATTCCAGTTGTGTCTCTAGTTACTAGTTAGTCATTGTGGAAATGGCGGACAAGATCTTAAGTCTGTCTAATGCCTCAGTTTTATCATAAGTTTTAAGCCTTCCCTGTCCATTCTTCAGGATGGGGCTCAAGTCCTCCACTTCCATGAAGCCTCCCTTGATGGCCCTATAACTTCAGTAAACTCTATTATTTCAAACACACGTCAGAATCTTCATTGTTGTTCTTTATCATTCTATTGTATACGGTTTGTCTGGGCAGGGATACCATGTGCTCCTGAGGGTAGGCTGTGTGAGTCACATGGTAATGTTGAATAAATACCAATAAGAGCTTTACAGTTACAAAGTCCTTGACCTGTGCTACCTCGAAACTGAAGGCTGGAGGGGTTAAGCAATTGGCCCACAATCACACAATGATCAAGTGGCAAAGTTTGTGCTGGTGAGAGGGCAAGAGGAGAGAAAGGGCCTGAGCTATGTCAGAGGAGGGCAAAGTCTGCATAGAACAACACGGAGGAAGAGGCAGCAGTGTCCTGGCATATGCCGGACAGCCACCAAAGGTTTAACAGCTGGCTCTCCAGGAGAAAATGAGCCCTGATTTCCAGAGATTGCCCACTGCTGTGGTGTAAATACTCCCCCGAGGACTGATGTCAAGGTATCAATGCAGTATCACTGAATGTGGAGTTGGGAAGAAATGTTCCACTTGGCTTTTATGAGCCTGTGCTGGCCAGCTCCAGCACAGCACTGAGGGAGTCAGGGCTGCCATGTATGGTCACGGCTAATCTTCCCCAAACCCCACAAGGTATGAACCCATCTGACTTCTATGTTTCAGAGTAGGAAGCTGAGGGTCAGAAGGCCATATTGCCAGTGGCCCCATAGCCATCCCATGGTAGAGAAGGTTCCAGTCTGGGCAGTCTGACACTAGAGCCCATCCTCCTCCTGTTCATTCATGACAGGATATCTGGAAGGAGTGGACGAGCTGCCTCAGTGGCCTCAGATGAGAACTCATGCCAGTTCCAGCCCATTCCCAGATGAACCTCTGTTTTTGGCTCTGGGCCCCTAGTCGGCTGTTTCTTGTCCCTTCCATGATGATGGGATATCCCATTTGGATGCGTCTGGCACTGCCAGGAGAGCTGGAGGCAGGAGGCTGGCCCCAAAAGGTCAGCTGAGGTAGAAGGCAGCTCCTGGGGGTGGAGTGGGCCCAAAGAGGCACAGGCCTGGAGTCTGTCCCCACAAACTGAAATTTGCCAGAAGCTGTATCCAGCACCAAAACCCAATATTAACAGCACATTTCTGCTGCTAACAACTTATTAGTGATAATTTATTAGGAAATGATTAAACCTAAATATGTGATCGAGTGCCTTAAGTCAAATAGGTGGCTCTGTTTGGGAATGGAGAAAAAGTGGGGAAATCAAGAAGACAGAAGAAGGGCTTGCTCTGTACCCTCGTGGTTTAGAGAGCTGGATGCCACAAGCTGACTGTGGATCGAATCCTGGCCCCAGCAGCTCAAACACGCTGGGTATGTGTGTGTGAGTGCCTCAAATCCCGACAGGACAGAGAGCCAGAGGAGAAATGATTATGGCATGACCATTCTCCACTGGGGTGGGGGTGCTTTCTCCTTTTCTCTGTCTGTCTGCCTGTCTGTCTGTCTCTCTCTCTGATGAGTTCACATGCCCTCTGGCAAAAAACAAAACACACACACACACACACACACACACACACAAACCCCCAAAAAACAGGAAGGAAAAGGGAAGGAGGTCTCGGCATGCTGGCAGGGGTGAGGTGGGGGTTAGTGGAGGGCCTGTATGGGCGTGGAAAGACACATGAAACACCAGGGGTGCCTCTGAGCCCTGGCACTGTAACTGGTAGTGTGTGTGTGTGTGTGTGTGTGTGTGTGAGAGTGTGAGAGAGAGTGTGCTGGGGTGGGGGGAGGTGGAGCACGACTATGTCGTTGATAACAATCATCAAAGGGATTATTATGCAAGAGCAATGATAACTATTCAGGTGCTTTGGGCTGTGGCTTAGATTACAAGTCATGTGTAGCTCTCTCAGGGCTGACGGGGTTGCAGAGAGAGCTGATATACAGGGGGCACTCTGGGCTCACTGGGTGGGAGCTCTGTCCTTCTCTGACCTGGTCATTTGACACTCTGAAAGCTCACTATGTGTGTGTGCACGGGCTGATGCCCTCATGTGTATACGTGTGTGCACATGTGTGTGCATCTGTGCGTGTGTATGGATCTTCTACCCCTGCTTCTTCTCACCTAGGGACAGAACTGGACAAAGGCCAAAAGGTGATGGCGAACCTTATGGGAGCCGGCTGCCCTCTTCAAAGCCCAGGTGTGCCTGGGGAATTCCATACGTGTGGACCCCTACGGCTGCTGCAGCTAAAACCGGAAAGGAATTCAGCCCTGGTCTCTCCCTTTGGAACCCCCTCTTTGCACAGTGGGAGCTTCATAAATCCTTGATGGTGATTCTGAACCTGGGAAGCCAGCAGCTGTTCCCAGCGTTTACTCTCAGAGCCCTATGGGGGCAAATCAGGCAGCCAGCCACCGTGGGGGTCTTCCGTCTTCTTGCCAGCCCCTCTGGTGTCTCCGCACCCAGCTGTTAGGGAAGGGGCTGGAGCCAGGGTCCACTTCACACACCCAGTACAGCCTCAACAGATTTTTTTTGGCTCGTTCCCATCCATCTTTTGGATAGTTTTATTCAAATCACAGCATCACAGCGGAAAAGTACCCCAGGAGTGCTTTGGTATAGGAACGGGGGATGGGGAATTGTGGTCGCACTGACCTGAATTCAAGTCCTAGGCTTTTTCAGTAAAAGCTGAGTGGCACCTGGCAAGTTCCATGCCTTACCTGTGCTTGCTTGCCCACTTTCCTTTTCTTTCCCTTCCTCTTTCTTTCTCTTCAGGTGTTAAAGGACAGCGATGACACCACTTCCCCAGGCTTGACGTGAGGGTTGGGAGCTGGTGTCTGCACACCTTGCAGGCCCTCTGTCAGTGGTAGGTGAATGCATCCCCTTGGCGTCTGGTCGAACGGAGTAGCCGGAGTAGCCTAGCGGTTTCTGTGACCTTGACGTCGCCTCTCCCCATTGCTGAGTGTCAGTTTCCTCCTTCGGAAAATGGGAACATAATGCTCCCCCTCCCCTGCCGCGGGTGTTTGGAGGATGGGCCTGAATAACGTGTGTGAAACAACCTACCTTTAGTCAATGACCTAACTATTAATAAATACTTGTCTTCCCCTCTCCCTGGCTCCCAATCATGGGGTACAGCTCCCCTCCTTCGAAGGTCCTCTATCCCTCCTTCCTACCGCCTCGCGGGAGGGCACAGCCCTTTTCGCGGCCTTGGGTTGGCAGGTTTTGGCCATACCTGTCCGAGAAAGGAGGGAGGCTCCACTCGGCGGTTCCGGAGCATAAAACTACAGTTCCCAGTCCTCGCCGCGCCGCGCCGGGGCCGGGAGCCTGGGACCGCAGGCCCCGCCTTCGGGGCGGAGCCTACGCAGGGGGCGGAGCTAGGGCTGGTTGGAGAGTGAAGCCAAGCCAATGAGACCAGCTGCTAATAAGTGGGCTTGGCTTACAATATAACAGCGGTAGGAGGAGGAGAGCAAAGCTATTGAGCCAGCGAGGAGTGAAGCTGAGCCTGGCCTCACACGCTCCTAGAGGACCACCTCCTGAGACAGAGTTCTTTCTCCCCTCTTCTTCTTCCTCCAAGCTCCCCTCCTGCCCTCCCTCCCTGCCCAGTACAATGCATTCTTGAGTGGCAGGGTCTGGACTCCAGGCAGCCTCAGAGAACCGAAGCAAGCCAAAGAGAGAGGACTGGAGCCAAGACACTGGTGGGGGAGCTTGGATGCCTGGCTTTCTTTGAGGACATCTTTGGAGCGAGGGTGGCTTTGGGGTGGGGGGTTGTGCTGCAGGGAATCCAGCCAGGCCCCAAGATGGACACTTCTGGGCACTTCCATGACTCGGGGGTGGGGGACCTGGATGAAGACCCCAAGTGCCCCTGTCCATCCTCTGGGGATGAGCAGCAGCAGCAGCAACAGCAGCAGCAGGCA